ACTTGTTAAGAAATCAATGAGTTCTTCTCATCCACTATTTTATATCATTTGTTCAAAGCAGAACTCCTGTACGTTCTACTTTTCGTGTTATCCTATTCATAAATATTTCTCAGTAATCATTTGATTTCTGTTTTGTATAAATTAGCATAAACATCGCTTATTATTGTGCACTATTATTATCAACGTTTCCTGGACATGTTTCAGAATTTCTACTTTAACTTCAGTTATCTCTCCATCCACCTACGAATCTGAAAAGTTATCCATAATTCCTGTGCTGAAGCCTATACTATGAAGATCCTTAGTTCCAAAGTGACGTACTGGACGGGGTTAACCACAAGGCTTTAGAGAAGTGTTTGAGCATATATCAACGTTAAGAGAAAAATGAAGTTCATTTAGAGTCGCGGAAAAGTGTGGTTTTTTATTCAGTGCACTCGGTAACCCAGTTTTGGCGAGATATGGTGCTAAAAGTTTAAAAAAAATTTGAAACTAATATTATCTTCCCACGGAAATGTTTTTTCGCCATTTTGTTTGAAAATCTTTTTTAAACCTTTGGCACTACTCCTCACCAAAAAGAGAAAATTTTCTGAGTTAATTAGTGCGCTGAGTACGAAATAGCACTTTTCCGCGACTTTAAATGAACATTATTTTTCTCTCAATGATATGGTTCCTGCGATTCAAAAACGATGATAATTACTGTTCCCTATGTTAAAAGTTTTTCTGTTCAAGTTGTGTATGTATTTTATTTAATTTAATTAATGTTTGTATCCACTGAGGAAGATAGAACTAGTCAATCGAAACATTTGAAAATAATTAAAGTTAGTACGAAGAAAAAGTATTTATTTATAATTAAAATACTTCACCTAACTTCGTATTGATATCGACTTTTCAAAATGACTGTCTTGAAGATTTGGAGAAGCACACATAAAATGGGAAGAGACCAGAGACGGAAGCGCTGCTAAATCAAGTAGGCGCATGTTCTGTACATAATTCCTCAAACTGCTGTAAACCGTCGTTGATGTAGAACTTTATTATAGTCAAGTTGATTTTTTTCTTGAGAGAGTCTGATTCTCTGAGTGTCTGTTCTTAATCACTGCCACAATGTTCATAATGATGGTTTCAAATTTATCTACGATATAGCTAAATTATAATCAAATCATTGACGTATTGTTTGAGAAGAAAGAAGATTGAGATGATGGTACGAAGCATATTCAGATGTTTCATTTTTAGTGAAGCGTTGGTCTGTCATTTCTCTCTGTACCTCAGGCACATTAAGCACTACCAAATTGAATTTTAGCGTTATTTTTTTACCCACGGTTAATAAAATTTTTGGAAGTTATTCAATAATTATTTTCCTTTAATTGTTTCCATTCTTTTTCAAAATTCGACGAAAAGACAACCATGATCTTGTCCTTTTTGATAATAATTTTTTATCCTGAACTCACGTTTGAAACAAATGATAAAGGCATCGAGAATCTCGTCTTTCACCTGCCAGCTGCTACATGGAATGGACAATCAGAAAAGAAACTTGGTGATTGCAAGATATGTGCTGGTCAACAAATCATAAACTTCGAACATTATGGAGAACCAAATTAAAATATATTGATAAACTGAAAAAAAGCGAAAAAGCAATAGTAGTATGAAAAAATAATGAAATACTATTAGATTTGTTGTATCGAGAAATGTCACGATTACGTATGATTACTGTTGTTTTCAAAATAGAATGTGTGCGACTGTGAGTTGAATAACTCCGAGACTTCAATAGTTGTGGATGTGCGGTTTTCACCATCGTGTATTCAAGTCCTTGGGACATAGATATACATGAAAAAAAATTTCTTGATAGGATTTTACGAAGTTTTCTAGAAGGATCTGTGGAAAACCAGGTGCGCAAAGATAGAAGGTTTGATGGAATTTCATTTTTGGGGTATTCTTTCGATAACCCAAGAGTTTTGTACATTTCTACATAGCTCCCGCATTTTTCTGACCTTGCAAACGAGCGCTAGACCCAATATACAAAACGCATTTTTCAGCGAATTAAAAAAAAAATTCTCGGGAAAAGAGACATTACGCATCGATATATAGGTTTTACTAGTAGTTAGTTAGTAGTAGTAGTAACTTACTAGTAGTAGTTTTGCTTAGTAGTACTTCTACATGCACATAAGCGACCTTAACACGAGATAATACGAGGATATTCTTTGTTTAGACAAAATGGGATTGTTTTCGACATAAACCACGTGTTGTTACTTGGATTATACTCCGTTTTAGAAAATTAGGATTTTGCATTAGGGGCGTAGCGTCAATAATCTTTTGGATAATTGCACTGATATGAAATATCGGCAAACAGTGATACCAGGTAAACGAATCGATGTACATGCAATACTTTCTAGTAGCATATTTGTCGAATTAGCTTAAATATATTTCACTGTTTTGTTTTTGAACACGTTACCCTAGACAAAATCCTACGCACTTCCTGTCTATTCTCTACTAGGATCTTACAGAATCCTAACATTTAGGATCGACCTAATAACTTCCTAGCAGGATCCTAAAATGCTAGAATCCCACCAGGATTTCGCTTAAATTTGTTTAGGACCCGAATCTTAGAAAGTCCTGTGATTTTCGGGTACACCTGATTTCATTAGGATTCTGTAGAATCTTGTCAGGATCGTAGGAAATTAAAGCGAAATCCTAGTAGGATATGTCTCGGATCCGGTAGAACTCATAGGGATTTTACTAGAGTAATCTTACACTATTTCTAGGTTCGCATTTCGACACTTCAATGCATAAAAATAATGCGTCTCCGTTTATGCCAAAAACTTCAACAATATCAACGATGTTCACTAACGAAATATTAATAACTCTTTGGACTCAACTAGTAATTGAAACTAGGCACTCTGTACAACAGAACATAGTTACTGATGAGTCGACAGATAATGGTCTCCATCAAAGGGAACTGATGGTAAAAAACAATGGAACACACTTCTCTTGACATGTGCCTCTTGTTTTGCATTGTTGATTCTATTTCTTGTTTCAACATTTTACATGTGTCGTCATGTCCGACAAACGCCTGAGCAATCAATAATGACGCAACTGTTAGATTTAGAAGAAGATTTTGATAAAAGAAGAGACAAAGATGGTGACATTCCTCCACTTCCGACAGCAAGTGGTACAACACGGACGACAAGCTGCTTTTTGAGTCCAATGACGAGGCAGACAGTTAGGCCTCCATTAGGAAGAACAGTGAATTGGGGTGTGAAAGAAATATTTAATACATTGAGAAACTGAGATCGTACAATATTTTCTTTTGATAAAATCAAATAGCCTAGATGTGCACATTCTCGTTGAAAGAGATAGGGAAGTCTGATGTAAACTGCATTCAAAACTAACTTCCGCAAGTACTTTCAAATACTCTATTCCTTTTTATTTATCATATCATTCTTTTATGTTATATTTATCATTGCATAACATACACTTGCCCTCTTTTCCTGATCTTCTGCACTATTAGACGACCTACTCATTATTTATGCAGAAATTTTTTTAACTTTGTCAACCATCTTTGGGACAATAATATATATAATCATACAGGGATGATGGTACCCATCGACAGAATTGGAAACCATCCAAAATTCGATTCGCTTTGGATTATAAAAGAAAATCAAATATCCGAACTTAAACAAAATAACCTTCAATAGATTGTTGAAGTAAATAGATGTGGTTACTTTTGTTAAAGGTAAAATTATTTATAACTGACCATCCGCTGTACAAATAATTCGTTCAGATTTTGTTATGTATGATTTGCAGAATTTTCTGACCAAAAACCAAGGACTTGGTTTTCCAGAAACCTCTTATCAGCTTTTCCCATGAAAGGGCGAGTGTTTCCATGCACATCATCTGATGAAAAAATCTTCGGGCTATTCAAAACAGGATTCAGTTTCGTTCCAACTTTTACTAAAAACTCAAAAACAAAGTAGTTCCCGTGATTATGACACACTGTACAGCATAGATAGCACCCAAACGCTTCTTTTCCATATCTTTAATGACTGGATCCACCTGTCTGGATATTCTGACCAGCTCACTTTGTGGAAAATTTCAAGGACCCGTGAAATTCTCTACCAAACGGTGTATAATGGTTGATATGTGGTCTAGGTGAAAGAGGTGGAATAATGCAAATACTGTAAGTAAAGTTCGTTAGCGCGAGACGACTTTTTTTTACTAAAATATTTTCAGGGGGGCTGAAAAGGATTTTTAAGGTCTAAAAATACGTTAGCGTGGATCACGGACACAAACTGCGTCAGATGACTTAACATAAGACTGATCTGAGCGTGAGTCGATTTTAGCTCTTATCGTCTCCTGTCCTTTGAGGATTTGAAGAAGTTTTAGTTTAGTTTGCCGATTAAAAAACTCAGAAATCTGAAAGAGTGGAACATCTGGACAGTCATGGTATTTTGCATGCTGAACTAGAAGAAATAATTCTTTTGGAGAAATGCTTTGCTATTAACAATAATTCAAGTTGACTACACAATAAAAGATTTCGATAGCTCGAGATTCCCTAGTTCGAATCTGCAATTTTTAAATCAAAATTAATTAATTAATTAATTCTGAAGTTTGAATTTCTTGACTTAAAAAGCAGTCAGTTTGAGTTTTAAATATACAATTCGATAGATGTTGAAAAACTGAACACTACACCAACAATTTTCTTGGTTCCTAGGTAACATTGTTTCCGATTTTTGCTAGGTTTCTACAGATTTTCAACATAATTTCGGATTTTTGCATCATAATAAGTATGTATTACAAGAACTCGTATTATGTGTTATGATATGATGACATCCTCATCCTCATCCTTCATCCTTCATCCTTTCAAGCTTTTAAATTAGCCACTTCACATAAAACTTTTTTTTCGAACCATCAAACTTCAGCTTCCAACGAGATCGCTTCTGTAATCATAAAAATATTCTGGAGAAATTTGTTCTCAAATTGCACCCTCTAGTCTTTCGTGTATAGTTTTGACTTAACTTTCCACAGCAAACATGAATCAGCAAATTAATAGAGTAAGTAGAAGCAAAAAATCGAAACTTCACACTTGAATTATTGTTTCCTCATAATATTTTCTCGGACAAACTGGTGACTTTTGATGAAGATTGTAGACTACGTAGATAAGTTTGCGAGTTAGTTATAATTAAATTATACGAACGACATTCTTTCTCTACTCTTCTTTGACTCTTCTTTCTCTTTTCTCTTTTCTCTAATATTTTTAATTTCTCTTAAGCGAACGTTATTATGCTGAAATATTATTTGAGGCTAGTTGAAATGATCCACAATTAAAAGGAGAAACTGCATATGATTGCAATGTTCAACAAATCTAATAATTGTTAACAGCATCGGTGATCAAAAACTTGACATTTGATATAATTTAGTCTACACTAGGACCGATGGTTGTCCAGAAATTACTGAATATCATCGACTCAAAGGCTTATTTTGGAATCTTACTTCAAGGTCTTGTACTACTCTATAGCCACCAAAATATAAGGTCTGTAGTTGTTTTCTGAATAGACTTACAGTTTTCAGCAATCGAAAGAGCACAGTTTAATCTATATTTTCATAAGTAAAGCCATTTTCCGAAAACATTCAAAAGACCAGTTTTCTACGAGATCTTTGGGAAACCAGTTCAGATCTCGGAAACTGGGATATCAATCTATCAGTTTTTTTCATAGATAGATATAGTCAAAAGTATCCTCTTCAAAATGGAAACTAAGCGAACGCTTATTTTTTCATGGTTTAGGCGTGGCATCGGACTGCCTAATAGTCCTATGATCTTTATTTCTTTAGATGTGGTAATTCTGACAACGAATGGAAACATAGACAATCGACCATGCTGAATCTCGTGGCAACATTTGTTTTTCAAATAAGTTCCAAATACTCAGTGAAAACCTTTATTAGGTGAAATAACCCATTTGTGGTTATTTTTGAGTAAAATTAAAAAAATGCGTCACCCTCAAGATCCATTCAGATTATGTTTGAACAACAGGATGTACTCTATTTTTTTATCTGCTCTATACGTTTTTTTACTTGAAAATAGTAAAAGCATTCTTGTACTTCGGAAGATTCCTAAAAAAAGCATTTCGAAAACTAAGATATTTTCTCTTAATTTTTATAGCTTTTATTGAACTCTGTGCTATTCTGCAGGTAAAACAGAGTATATCTTAATGTTCTAACATGTTCTAACTTAATGTTTTTCTTTGAAATAATGATGGTACATAGTATGTACTACATACCGCTAATATCTTTATCCCAATAAAGTTTGATAAATACTTATCACTTTTTATCGAAATATAGGTATTTACAATGTTTTAGCTAGTTTTTGACGTTTGTCTGGTCTTTTTCTCGCATTCGATGCGTCTCGTTTACGTTTCGTTCCAACCGTATCTGTTTGTTTTTCGATTGTATATCCACGTTTCACTTTCTCTTCTACTTTTTATCAACATATTTCTGGGCTTCTTGGTTCGTTGAAAAATCTTTCATTAGAATAATAGCCTCCGAAGCATCTTCACCCAACACACCGTATTTTGTTTTTGTTGTTTTGCTATCAATTGTTATTCGATAAAATTTTGTTATCATCGTCAGTGTGTGCTTCGAGATATGTGGTTTGGGCTGTTGATGATTCTAGTTTCTTGTTTACTTGTCGTTCGCTAGCAAATAGTCTTTTTAATTAATCTTGTATCTTTTTTCTTCAATTCTTGGAAGTCATTGCTCACATGTCTGACACGTTTCTTCTTTTCACCACCCGATCGTACAGGAAGCGTTGATAATAATAACACACTGTTTAAACTAAACTTATTTCCAAATAAAATCTTGTTGTAATACTAAAATGATTGAGTATGTTGTTTAACAGACCACCAGGCATGTAAAAATAGTATTCGACAATGAATGCTAACAATATGACCAGTTAATTTAATAACAATTAAAACCTACATTACCGTTTTCGTTTCTTTTCTACAAGAAACGTGCTGTCTGTGGTATCGAGATAAGATAATGAGAACAAAACACGATAATGAGTATTTTGCTTTCACCAACCTGAAAAGTTATCCATAAATCCTATGCTGACTGATATGACGAGGAAGCGTTGATAATAATAACACATGGCGAAATCAAGTCATATTTGAACCTCTCACCTTTAAGTGATGTGAACAAATACCTTCGTCGATACCTAGTTATATTGCTTTATTCTATAGTGCACAATAATAAGCGATGTTTACGCTAATTTATACAAAACAGAAATCAAATGATTACTGAGAAATATTTATGAATATGATAACACGAAAAGTAGAAC